GGGCCCCAGACGTCCATGTGCAGCATCTGTAAAGGCGCTGTGGTAGGGGGAAACGAGGAGGAGTGAGGGGTGGTGCACTACCGGCCCTCAACGCAGGAGGTGCACAGGGGCGCTACCAAAGTAGGCAGGGTGGGAAACGACGTAGTGAGACTAGTGTCTAGACCGTGCTGGGACATGTGCCTAAGACGCGGGAGTGCAGGATGATGTACGTGCGACAGCTGTGGCGGAGGAGTATGCTAGTGCGACGCGGACATGCGCAGGAAGCGGGGTGAGAGCAATACTGTCTCTAAAGAAGCCACGAGATGCGCCCGAGTCAAGGATAAAGGAGAGGGCCGCCTTAGGAGGGGCAAGGGAGGAGCCTAGTGGACACGTAGTAGAGGCTCCTAGACTAGACACAGTGGTGGGGCCTAGACCCCTAGGCCCCCGGTCCTCCAGAGAAACCACACTGGCCCCAGGGCAGTGACCGCCCCGGGGCCGCACCTCTTGAGCCTCCACCTTGCCTAGAACCGCCAAGACCCCACTGCGGCTGCTGTCGCTGCTGCTGCTGCTGCCGTCACTACTGCTGCTGCTGCTGCTGCTGCGGTACTGGCCAGAGAGCCCGGAATCAGATGTCTAGGTTGTGGAGCTAGAAGCCAATGAGGTAACTTATGTGATCCTCTAGGAGCGTGGAGTCTAGGTGCGGGCTCACGAGCTGTAGATGGTAAGCGAGAAATCGGAGAGCGGAGGGAAGTGCCCGGTGGTCTGGCCGAGGGACTGATCCAAACGAGGCCATCATGCCGAGGCCAGAGCAGTGGCAGGGAGCACAAGGCTGGTAGCAGCAGCGGCTAGTGATAGTAAGATGGCAGCAGCGGCTAGCTGGTGGCTGACGGTAGGCTAGGAGCTGCTAGGAGGAGTGGGGAGCAAACAAGGAGGAAGTACGCACGAGAGGATCTACTAGGAGCAGTACGCCAAGGAGCTAGCTAGGAGGCACTATGACTGGTGGCACAGGACGAAGGACAGTCCACAGGGCATGGGGGACTCACGTGGCAGGCGGCCGACTGGTGACTGGCGCCTGGCGGCCGACTGCCGATGGCGGCTGGTGGTCAGCGGCTGGCCGCGAGTGGTGGCAGCTGGCGGCTGACAGCTGAGGGTCGGCGGTCGGCTGCTGGGGGCTGGTGACTGGTGCTGGCGGCTGGTGGCCGGCTGCTGGAGGCCGAAGCTGACGGTGGGCAACTGCAGTGGCAACAGGAGTAGCAGTGGCGGCTGCAGAGGCAGCGGCGGCTGTAGCGGCAGTGGCGGCAGCGGCTGCAGTGGCGGCAGCAGTGGCTATGGTAGTGGTGACTGCAAGGACAGTGGACGGCAGTAGGCGGCAGCAGGCGGCAGCGGGCGGCAGCGGCAGCGGGTGGTGACGGCGCCGGGCCAGCAGTGAGGTTGGCTAGCGGCAGGAGCTCTGCGAGCTGGCTAGCGGAGGTGGCTGCGTAACTACGGGCGAGCCGTGGCAATGGTGATTGCAAGGGCAGCAGCTGTAGCAGCAGTGGCGGTAGCGGCAGCGGCAGTGGCAGCAACGGCAGTGGGAGGAGCAGCGGCAGCGGCAAGAGCAGTGGCAGCGGTGGCTGCAGCGGCAGTGGCGGCAGCAACAGGAGCAGCTGCAGCAAGTGCTGCAGCGGCAGTAGTAGTAGCGGGAGGGGTGGCTGCTGGCGGCTGCTAGCTGGCAGGCCAGCGGCGAGGTGGCTGAGGGCTGCTGGCGGCTGCTGGCTGGCGCTGGTGGCTGGCGCTGGTGCTGGAAGCTGATTGCTAGTGCTGGCGGCTGGCTGCTAATGCTGGCAGTTGGCTGCTAGTGCTGGCAGCTGGCTGCTAGTGCTGGCTGCTAGTGCTGGCGGCTGGCTGCTAGTGCTGGCAGCTGGCTGCTAGTGCTGGCTGCTAGTCCTGGCTGCTAGTGCTGGTGCTGACAGCTGGCGGTAAGTGCAGCTAGTGCTGCTGGCAGTGGCAGCTGGTGGTTAGCGGAGGCAGTTGGCGTTGGGCGCTAGGGGCCAGCGGCGAGGTGCTCACGGCAAGCTGCCGGCTGGCGCTGGCAAGCTGGCTGGTGCCGGCGAGCTAGCTGGCGGTAAGCTGCTGGCTAGTGCAGGCAAGCGGCGGGCTGGCGCTGGCGAGCTGGCACTGGCGTGCTGGCGCTAGCGAGCTGGCGCTGTCGGCTTCGGCAGCGGCTGCAGTGGCAGTGGCAGCTGCAGTGGCAGTGGTGGCGGAGGCAGCAGGCGGGCTAGCAAGCGAGCAGGCAAGCGGGCGAGCAGGCAAGCAGGCGAGTAGGCATGAGGGCGAGCAGGCAAGCGGGCGAGTCAACAGGCTGGCGAGCAGGCAGGCTGGCAAGCAGGCGGGCTGGCGAGCAGGCGAGCGGGCGAGCAGGCGGGCTAGCAAACTAGCGGGGGAGGGGTGGGGTGGGCTGGTGCTGGCGAGCGGTGGCAAGCGGCGGGCTGGCCCCGCCAAGCGGGCTAGCGCTGGCGAGCTGGCTGGCGTTGGCAAAACGGCGCTGGTGCTAGCAAGCGCAGTCTAGCTGGCGAGCATGCGAGCTGGCGCGGGATAGCGCTGGCCGTCGAGAAACTGCAAGCGAGCCGTGCTTGGGAGGGGCGAGTGACGAAATAGCGAGGGGCGGAATGCCTACAAAGGAAGGCGCTGGCAGGCGCGGGCCAGCGGCGGGTGGCGTGGGCTACGCGACGAATAGGGGAGCGTGGGGTGGGGACAAGCTACGAGGCGCACTGTTAGGGGCGAGGCGTACTAGGCTAGGGCGTGCTAGGGCGGAGGCATGAGGAGAGGGCAAGACCTAGCTCCAGATGCCATGTAAGGATATCGAGAGGATGTGACTAAGGGAAAAAAGTCGAGGGTTACAAAGGTAGGACTATACCCTTTGAGAATTGACCTAACTAAGGCTATAACAAATATAAACTACCTAGCCTAGACAATTATATTTGTTGGCACGCCCGCCCCACGCCCGCTGGCCCCGATTTCGCCCGCCCCATGCCCGCTGGCCCCATTTTCGCCAGCCCAGCGCCTGCTGGCCCCGAATGCGCCAGCCCTACGCCAGCTGGCCCCGCATTCGCCAGCCCCTCACCGCCAGCCCCTTGTCCCGCTGGCCCCGATTTCGCCCGCCCAGCGCCTGCTGGCCCTGCTTTCACCAGCCCCGCGCCCGCTGGCCCCTACTGCGCCAGCCCCTCGTCAACAATCCTGTGTCCCGCTGGCCCCGCGCCTGCTGACCCTGCGACCATCAGCCCCGCGCCCGTCAGAACCGCGCCTGTCAGCCCGGCTCCTGCTGGCCCCAGCGCCCTCCTGCCCCGCACCTGCTGGCCCCATGCCCGCCAGCCCTGCGCATGCTGGCCCCGCGCCCGCCAACCTTTCGCCTGCTGGCCCTCCGCCGGCAGCAGCTCCGCCGGTCCCGGCCTGCCCTGTCCCTTCCTACCGCCGAGCCGCGCCGACCCGCCGACCTTGGCTCCTCCTCCGAGCCGGCGCTCCTGCCGGCCGTCTTCACCAGTCTCCACCGCACTCCATCGCTCTCCGCTGCACTCTGCCACACTCCACTGCACTCCACCGCTCTCCACCGCACTCCACCGCCCTCCACTGCACTCCACCGCTCCCCACTGCTCTCCCCCGCCCTCCTCTGCACTTTTCAGCGGCAGTCAGCTGTTGCAGCCATGGTGATGGCGGACTCTCTGCTCCGCCTGGGCGCGGAGGGTTGGGCCGTTGAGTTTGAGGCGTGGCTCGTCGACCTCCACCGCCAGCTGACCGGGCAGCGCTAGGAAGGCCACTCCCTTGCCGTCCATGTTGACGGTAAGCTCCCTTGCCCTGCCCTGCCTGCTGCCCTCCCTGACGCCCCCACGTCTGCTGAGCGTGAGGCTTTTGTCGTTGCTGAGCTTGCCTGCGGTGACTGGGACTCGCGCGATGTCGTTGCTCAGCTTGCCATTAGTCACGCCCTCCCCCTGTCTGAGCGTCCCTGCTTTACCGATATCGCAAATGTCAAGGAATACTTAGATGCCGTCATCGCGCGCTATTCCACCCCCGCCTCAGCCTCTGCTGGCCGCCTGATCCTCCCCATGCTGTTCCCTGACCTTGCGTCCTTCCCCATTATATATGACCTTGCCACTCACCTCCGCGCACTGGAGACCGACCTACCGCGCCGGTAGCACTGAGGCACAGCTCACTGCCTTCCCGCCACCGCTCTGCGCTACCCTTTACCTCATTGTCACACGCCTGCGTGACCTCCTAGCCACTGCCTGCGACCATTTCCTTAGTCAGCACCCAGGTGATCTCACCCTCACTGCCTTTGTTACCGCCTTGTCTGTGACAGAGACCCGCCAGTGCACTATCGCTCAGTCTAGCGGTACTATGCCGGTCCCTATCTTCCAGGGCTATGCTCCCTCCCAGTGCACTTACTCTGACGTTTCTGCCACTGTCGCTGAGACAGCCTCTACTGCTGAGACCGCCACGGCGGTCTCAATGCAGCAGCATCCAGGTAAGGGCCGTCGCCCCAAGGGGGGACATGGCGGAGGGAAGGGTGGTGGGGGTGGTGGAGGTGGGGGCGGGAACGGTAGTGCAAACAAGGGGACCAGTGCTGGTGCCCCGGAGCAGCCTCAGCAACAGCAGCCGCAGCAGCAGCCGCCTCCGCAGCAGCCGCAGCCGCAGTAGTCGCAGCCGCAGCAGCAGCCGCCGTGGTGGCCTGGTGGTGCTGGTAGTGGTGGTCGTGGTGGTGTGCCGCGCAGCTCGGTGTCGGGTGGCAGCTCCAGTGTGGTCACCTGCCAGTACCAGCTTCAGACCGGCCCCCGCCGCGGCACCGTCTGCGACCATCCCGGTCACACCGCCGCCCGCTGCTATCGTCGCCTCGACGACCTCTTCCGTCTCTGCTTTGGTCCCACGTCGGACCCTTCGTACTGGTACGCCCTGGTGCGCCTCCATGTGCGTGTCTTTGAGCTTGACATGGATCAGATTAGGAGTGCTATGTATGTGATGTATGCTGATGACTCTAGTGAAACTGGACCCTATTATCCGATGTTGCCTAATGTAGGTGTGTCCACTTAGTATAGCCTAGTTTCCCCTGCTGCATCAGGCATGGGGTCGCTGAGCGACGCATCGGTTTAGTCTTGGTGATTGCTCGTACCTCCATGTTCCATGCCAGTGCACCCCATTTTCTGTGGCCGTTCGCTGTTCGCTAAGCCACTCACCAGCTTAACCTGTGGCCGCACTCCCATTAACTGCAGGTTTTGCCGACCCTTTACTAGACCGGGTTCCCTGGTGACGCGTCTGCGTTCCACGTCTGGGGCTGCCTTGCTCACGTTCGTGCCTCCGGCACGGACAAGCTGACTGCCTGCACCGTTCCTTCTATCTTCCTTGGTTTCCCTCTAGACGCGACTGACTGGCACTTCTACCACCCGGTTCACCGGTTCACTCTCGTGACGTCACTTTTGACGAGTCTATCTCCTTCTACACCCCCTTTCCCCACCGAGGTCTCCCGGTTGCCCCGCCCCTATTCGTGGTCCCCACTCCCCCGGTAGCTCCTGCTTCTCTTCCTCCCCGTCCTTCCCCGCCTGGTGTGTCTCACTTCACTCCCCTCCCATCCGTTGTTCCGTTGGAGGATTCAACTGATTTCGGAAGCCCCGCGGCTTCGGCTTCGCTGCCTATCTCCGCCCCGGTGTCTCCTCCTCCTCCTCTGCCGCCACCGTAGCAGCCGCCATTGAGGAGGGTGCAAGTCCTGGGGGTACTATCCTGGCTTGTCCCAGCGGTCCTGGGGGTGGCACCGGTGCTGCAGAGGGTTCTCGTCCTAGGGGTGCTTGTTCTGGGGGTGCTAGTCATAGGGGTACTTTCGTGGCTTGTACTGGCGGTCCTGGGGATGGCACCGGTGCTGGAGAGGGTTCTCGCTCTGGGAGTGATATTGTGGAGCATCCCCGAGGTAGCCGTGGTGCAGGTGGAGGTTCAGGTGTCAAAGAAGCAGCAGCAGTCGCCACTGGTGTCCGCCCTTCGCCTCCTCAGTCTTCCCTCCCCTGCCCGCTTGCATGCGCCTCCCCCGCCTATCTACGCCCCTGTGTTTCCTCAGCCGGACTCGTCTCTGGCGTACTTTCCCCCGCGTTCTCCTACCGTGTCTCCTCCTATGTCTCCTAACCCCACGCCTTTGTCCCACTTTTGGTCTCGCCGTCCCTCCCGTGCTCATCCTGTCTCTCTTGTCTAGCGCTCTCACCATATGTTGCTTCACTCCCACGTGTCTCATCCTCCCCTCCTCCCGTTGCTACCATCAGTGACTACACCACCGCTCTGGTCTGTGTCCCTGCCCATCCTCTGTCCGTCAGGGGTGCTCCTGCCCTTGGCAGTGACGTCCTGAAGGACCAGCACTATGAGCTTGCTTTCTTGTCCGAGGCTGCGTCTCATCTCTGCTCCATGCTCCTAGTCCCTGAGGGTGACCCAGACACCTTTGACATCCCGACCCCTCGCACTGACTCTGAAGTGATTGGTCGCGCAAAAACGCCCGATTATGCGCGACATCGTATCTGGGTCTTATGACTGTACTAACTGCTGCCACCAATTATGAGAGTCCGACCCCGTTACACCACTAGTCCCTCTTCCCTATCTCCTTTCTATCTCATCTCTCCTTTTATCCCATCTAATTTGGTTCCCTATTCCCTATTTTCCCATTATCTTTTGGTTTATCCGTTATTAGAATTATATCACCGACCAGGCTCGGGATGTACTGGCGCGCTATGTCTAGCGTAATCCTGTCGTAATCCCTTAAAGCCAATAGCCTCGCGTGGCTATACCCAGGGTGATTCTATTTTCTAGAAGGGTCTATTCCCTTTGGATAGGATAAACCTGGTTACCTAATGTACTCTGGAAGTATAAAAGCGCCTTGTATTCATCAATAGTGCAATCTTTCCACGACGCATTCGATCCTGTACGCATACGACTCGCGGCGACACTGATGCGAGGGCCGGCACTCGTGTGGATCGACGGCAACAGTACTTTCATCCACGGCGAAGCCACGTGGCAGCAATTCCGCACCGACGTGCTGAAACGTTTCGAGCTGATAAATTCGGGTTTCCTTGCCCAGGAAAAAATTCATCGACATCGACAGTTCGGGAGTGTACGGCAGTACACGCAACAGATGGAGGAATTTTATAACCGCATTCCCGACCTGACCGAAGGGGAAAAATTGCAGTCATATCTCGCCGGGCTGAAGACCGAAGTCAAACGACAAGTGGCAGTGACAAACTACGCGAGCTACAGTGACGTCGTATCGGCCGCGGAACGCTTCGACATGGTCAACGCCGGGACACGACGGGCGCACGTCGGTAGTACACGACAGGGCGACCGCTCGGCTCACACCACGTTCGCCGACCCGATGGAAATCGACAGGTTCAACGGGCGGCCACGTCCGAAAAACACCAACTACACGTGTGATTTCTGCGGGGTGCCGGGCCATCGAATCTTCGACTACAACAACATGAAGACCGCACGCGCTGAGTATCAGACACGCAACAGTGGCGGAAATCCTTTGGCCAATCAGTGATTGCGGATCTAGCTGGCGAAAAATAAAGGATCCGAAAGCGGCCGCGGACTTCCGGAAAAATCAACTTCGACGCAGCTGATTCTACGCGAACAGGAGAAAATGATGGGGAAAAATCTCCACCCCACGACTAGTCTTCGCCAGAGGAAATCGCCGAGGAAAAATCTAACTCCGCGAAAAAAGACTCTGCCGAGACGGGGAAACTTCTGGAAGACCCAAGAAATTATAAGGATTCGTTAAAGTTATCTTATAAAGATGCTTTAATGAAAACTTGTAATTTTCGAGGGGCTAGAGCCTTGGAGAAATTTCGGGAGGGACTCCAACAGAAGCAGAAAGTTGTGGAGATCATACCGGTACCGGAGACCTTGGGGACCAAACTAAGGAGTGTGGAAAGAAGCCGACCTTTCCACGGAGTTAACGTCATCTCCCGACACCAGCCCACAACGACTACCCGTTCCCCAGGGAAGACGTCGGTGGAGCTGAAGCAGCTCAAAAGGAAGCTAGGGGTCTACAGGAAGCTGCAAAAACCCCCAACGCCTTCTTCGGATATATCCAACTCGGCAACTTCGTCAACGACACGAATAGTCGTCACAGAAAATCCGGGCCCTGGAGAAGAGCCTTTCTCCAAGCAGCCACGGCCAGCTGCCAGCTCAGGAGTAGGAAGCAACGAATATTGGGATGTACCCTATGATCCCATCAATGAAACAACTTTTGGGTAATCCGAGCAACGCCCGCCCCTTGTGCTCGAGGTCATCTGCAAAGGACGATGCCTCCAAGCACTCGTGGACAGCGGAGCATCGCACACAGTCTGCGACAAGGCAGTAATCGACCGACTTCGGGAAGAGTACAAGCCTTCAGGATTCTCTGCAACGATGGTGGACGGAAGCAAGTTACCAGTATACGGCGAAGCAGTGTTACACCTACAAATTGGACCACTGCGCTGGAGACCTGCACTCCCCATCACCAACATCAAAGGGCTTGACTTGATCTTCGGGCTAGACTTCCTGAAAAGATTCAACCCCGAGATCAACTGGGTAAATCACACCGCAAGCATCTACAACAATGGAAGGAGAGTCCAACTACCCAACTGGGACGATACAGGAGATATCCCAGTGGAGACACTCGCACAATTCAAGAAGGACGCGAAGCGAACCGACACCGGGTTCCTGGCGATAGCAACAGAAGTAGAAACCGACGGAGAGAAGACCTCGGAACCTCCAGGAAATATCAAGGAATTGCTGAAGGAGTTCCAAGACATTCTCCCCGACGACCTTCCGAACGAGCTACCGCCATACCGAATGCATCAACACGAGATAGTGGAGGAAACAGGTTCGAAGCCGACCTTCCGAGCACCATATCGGCTCAGCCCTACTGAGCTAACCGACATGAAAAAACAGATCGAGTATCTCTTCGCCAAAGGGCTCATCCGACCATCCACTTCGCCATACGGTGCCCCAGTGCTCTTCACACCGAAACCGGACGGAAGCCTGCGCATGTGCATCGATTACCGAGCTCTCAACAAGCAGACCATCAAAAATAAATATCCGATACCAAGAATCGATGACCTGCTTGACCAGCTTCGAGGAGCTGCAGTATTTTCCAAACTGGATCTGCGGTCCGGATACTGGCAGATACGAATGGCGGACAACTCCATCCACAAGACGGCCTTCCGAACTCGGTACGGATCGTAAGAGTATTTTGTCATGCCGTTTGGACTCACCAACGCATCGGCAACATTCCAAGCCGAAATGAACCACATTCTACGCCCACTTTTGGACGAGTGCGTGGTGGTGTACTTGGACGACATCCTCATCTACTCGCACGACATGAAGCAGCACGTCGAACACCTGCGACGTGTCTTCGAAATTCTTCGACGGGAACGGTTCTACGTCAAATTGTCCAAGAGCGAATTTGCCCTTGAGAAGGTCCAATTCCTAGGACACATGGTGAGCGCTCAAGGAGTTCACGTCGACCCCAAGAAAATCGAAGTCGTACGTACGTAGAAGACACCCGAGAACGTGAAGGAGTTACAGCAGTTCCTTGGCTTCGCTAACTACTACAATAGGTTCGTGCCACAGTACGCGAAGATTGCCGCGCTACTCACGAATCTGCTGAAGAAGAACACGCCCTATAAATGGGAGCCGAAGCACCAGCAAGCCGTGGAGCAGTTGAAAAAAGCACTCACGTCCGCACCAGTACTCATCTTGCCAAATCCCGAACGCGACTACGTCATCGAAGTTGACGCCAGCGCCCAAGCAGTGGGAGCAGTCTTGATGCAAGACCAGGGGAATGGACTGCTTCCAATCGCTACCTCAACAAGAAATTACACGGGGCAGAACTCAACTACCCGATACATGACAAAGAGGCCCTTGCTATCGTCATCGCCTTCAAAGCGTGGAGATGTTATCTCGAAGGACGACGAACAACCGTCTATACCGACCACTGTAGCCTTGAATATTTGAAGACACAACCCAACCTTTCCAGGCGACAGGTCCGGTGGATCGACTTCCTCAAGACGCACTTCCACTACGACATCGTGTACAAGCCCGGCCACAAAAACAAACCAGACGCCCTTAGCTGGCCTGCACATGTTGCCGCCATTCAGGTCGAAGGGATGAATCCACTAATCAAGGGACTCTTCACACACGGATACACCATCGACCTCGAAATTCCCTTGGCAAGAAAGCGACATCTGCTCCAGTGGGACAATGACATCGCGTACCGGAAAGGATCAACGAAAATCTGGGTACCCAATTACCCTCCTTTGCGCCAGTTCATACTCGAAGAATACCACGACGTCCTCTACGCCAGACACTTCGGTAGCAACAGGACGCTGACCGGCATTGCAAATCACTACTACTGGCCGCACTTGGCAGAAGATGTTCAAAAATTTGTCACCTCATGTGATACATGTCAACGGATGAAGAACAGCAAGCAGAAGAAGGCAGAACTACTGCAGCCTCTTCTTGTCCCAGAACAACCATGGCAAGTAGTTAGCCTAGATTTCATCACCGGATTACCACCTATCACCAGCGGTCATGACGCAATCCTTGTCGTTATTGACAAGTTCTCCAAAATGGGACACTTCATCTCGACACACACGACAGCACGCACCGAAGATACAGCACAACTCTTCGTTCGATACATCATCTCACAGCATGGCATTCCAACCACACTCATCTCCGACCGAGACCCCAAGTTCACCAGCAAGTTCTAGAAGGAGCTTATGTCTCTACTCGGGACCAAACTCGCCATATCATCCGCTTACCATCCGCAGACAGACGGACAGACCGAGCGCCTCAACCAGATTGTTGAGCAACTCCTCCGAGCAGCTTGCAAGGACGAGATCTCCAAATGGGACTTGCACCTGCCCGTTCTAGAGTTTGCCTACAACAACGCCACACATGCCGCTACTGGACAGACGCCGTTCTTCCTCTGCTACGGACGCCACCCACTCACACCACAGAAACCGACACCATCTACTACAGTCCAACCTGCACACGATTTCATCACAACCATGCATCAGCTTTGGGATCGAACCCTCAAGCGCCTCCTTGACATTCAGCAGCAACAGAAGCGCCAGGCCGATCGCCATCGCAACGACGACACCATCACCATGGAAGACCAGGTGCTCCTCGACACCCGCAACCTTGACATCAGCCATCTTCCATCTAAGCTTCGACCTCGTTTCTGCGGGCCTTTCCTCGTTGAAGCCTAGGTCACTCCTGCTACCTTCCGCTTACGCCTGACAGCTACCTGGAAGATGCACAACGCCTTCCATGTCCAACTTCTGAAGCCCTATCGGGATCCGAATACGATCTTCGTCAGACGCCAACCGCCGCCGCCGCCACCCGTCCTCGTCCAGAATGAACCCGAGTATGAGGTCGAGTCCGTGCTTGCCCACCGCCGTCGTCGGAATGGCACCGTGGAGCTTCTTATTCGTTGGAAGGGTTATGATCCTTCTGAGGACAGTTGGGTACCTGAGACCGACATGGGTAACGCTCGTCGTCCTCTGCATGACTACCTTGTCAAGCAGGGTGTTACTTCTACCACCCAGTTTTGAGGGGGGGAAGTGTGAGAGTCCGACCCCGTTACACCACTAGTCCCTTTTCCCTATCTCATTTCTATCGCATCTCTCTTTTTATCCCATCTTATTTGGTTACCTATTCCCCATTTTCCCATTATCTTTTGGTTTATCCGTTATTATAATTATATCACCGACCAGGCTCGGGATGTACTGGCGCGCTATATCTAGTATAATCCTGCCGTAATCCCTTAAAGCCAATAGCCTCGCGTGGCTATACGCAGGGTGATTCTATTTTCTAGAAGGGTCTATTCCCTTAGGATAGGATAAACCTGGTTGCCTGATGTACTCTAGAAGTATAAAAGCGCCTTGTATTCATCGATAGTGCAATCTTTCCTCGACACATTCGATCCTGTAACACCAATCCACATAGCAGGGGGACCGCATTTCGGATGTTCTGCGAATCTTCGACGACGAGGTTGTAGTCGTAAAAAACTTTCAGATGGAAGATACATCCGGTGACGGACAAACTGTCTCGTTTGCTTGGGTCGAACGTGGTCGGCCTCTGGGTCTTGACAATTATGGGCGTCACGTTGATATTTGCAGTTTGCAGGCCGGCGGGAGAGGTAATTTGGGGCGGCAGGTTGACATTCGTCCCTTCGCTAACTTCTGTTCGTCTAATGATCGGTGGCGGGTTGTTCGTATCAGAATTGAGAATTGAATGTTAGATAGAAAGAGAGTACACAAGGATATACCTCAGGGTTGTACCCTCTAAGAGACTACCCTATACAGTCTATACAAACATGACAAGTACACATGTTTGACACACCCCCTAGACTGCATAGCGGAATGTCCTAAACAAGCAGCTCAGGGCGGCACTACTAGTCCAACCTCTGAGACAAGGGTCTGAGAGACCAGTCAGAAGGAGTACAGACAAGGCAAGAGCAAGAGCAGGGCGGCACTACTAGTCCAGCCACTGGGAGAGGACACAAGTCCAGTCTGAGTATACATATAAACGACAACACAAAGTCAAGGTCCTAGCAAGTGAGAGGCTACAGGAACTAGACCAAGCTGTACACAGTGCCGCTGATGATCTTTAGCCGCAAGCGCCTTCGTAAAGATATCAGCTCTGTTGGCACCTGAGGCCAAGTGTACTACGCGAGCCTGACGTCGCTGCTGTAGCTCACGCAGGAGGAAGTACCGCAGCTGAATGTGCTTCGCTCTGCCCTCGAGTCGAGGCTCCTGACACAGGAGGATCATGGCCCTGTTGTCAGCGAATAGGACCGGGGCAGAGCTAGGCCGCTCACCTAAGTCACTGAGCAAGAAGGTCAGCCAGCGGAGCTCCTGTGCCGCCATGGCACCAGCGTAGATCTCAGCCTCACAGCTGGACTGCGCAACAGACGAGGAGCGGGTAGCTCTCCACGAGACGGCACCTGAGCCAAGGCTGAAGCAGTAGCCCTGGGTAGACCTGAGTGTCTCGGCGTCGTCTGCCCATGAAGCGTTTGTGTGTCCAGTAAGGACCACTGGCCTACGTCCTCCTAGCACTAACCCCATGCCCGATGTACTAGCAAGATAACGCAGAACCCTCTTAGCGGCAGACCAGTGCTGCGGTCGGTGTCTGCCTGTGGCCACAAAACGAGCCAGGATGCTGAGAGGGTATGCGAGATCTGGGCGAGTGCAAGTCATCAGGTACATGAGGCAACCCACCAGCTCTGCGTAGGGGCCGCTGGGCTCTACCAACTCCTCAGACACTGGAGCGGAGAGCCTGTGGTCTACAATCAGAGGGGTGGGCTGTGCAGAAGAGAACTGAAGGCTGAACCTCTGAAGGACCTGGCGCACCAAGTGTGACTGAGTCAGGGTGATGGTGCGCGCAGCTCTGTCCCTGGAGATCTGCAGGCCAAGGTAACGGCGCAGTTCTCCAAGGTCAGTGCAGGTGTGTCTCTTCAGCAGCTCTGCCTTCACGGAGGCCAGTGCGTCCCTGTCTGCTGTGGCAAAGACCAGGTCGTCGACGTAAACAAGGATGTAGAACGGAGTCTGGCCAGCACGAACGAAGAGTGAAGGGTCTGCGGAAGACGGAAAGAACTGCAGGTCAGCAAGCGTAGCACGGAGAGTGTCGTGCCACTCACGGGGAGCCTGGCGCAGGCCGTAGATGGGGCGCCGCAGGAGCCACTGGGTCCCAGGAGGGAAGGTGCCAGTAAAGCCCGGAGGGCGACGTAGGTAGACCTGCTCGTGTAGGCTGCCCTGAAGGAAGGCAGTGGAGAAGTCGAGGGAGTGAAGCTCGTAGTCACGCTGAGCAGCTAGGTGTAACAGAACCCGAAGAGTAGTCATCTTCGGGGTCGGAGCGAAGGTCTGGAAGAAGTCCACCCCCTCGCGCTGACTGAAGCCTCTAGCCACATAGCGCGCCTTGAAGACAGGCGGCTCTCCAGGAGGGCGCTTCACCTTGAAGAGCCAGCGGCCATCGACTACGTTCACCCCAGGCGGGGGAACTGCGTCGACGAAGGTGCCGGTGGATCTCCAAGATGCCATCTCCTGCTCCATGGCAGCTATCCACTGCGAGGCCCAGGGTCCCGAGGTCGCCTCAGCGTAAGTGCGAGGGGTCGGGATGTCGAAAGCGTCTGGGTCACCCTTAGGGACTAGCAGCATGGAACAGAGATGGGGAGCAGCCTCGGAGAGGAAAGCAAGCTCGAACTGGCGGTCCTCCAGGACGTCACTGCCAAGGGCAGGAGCACCCCCGACAGACGGAGGACAGGTAGGGTCAGAGACCAGAGCTGTGGCGTAGTCAAGGCGGCGGGTAGAGGCGAAGTCAGCGACAGCAGCGACAAGAGCGTCAAGGCACGAGACCGGAACAGACGGGTCGGTAACGAGAGAGGCAAGGACCCGAGGAACAAGGGGACGAGCGGCACGAAGGTAGTCAGACAGCGGGGGGGGCGCAACAACAAGGGAGGACGGAGGAGGCGACGGTAGAAGGGGAGGACGAGACGCGTGGTGGTGTGTCGAGTGGCGGCGGGCGCTGTCAGTACCAGATCCAGACCGGTCCTCGCCGCGGCTTCGTTTGCGGTAAGATCGGTCACTCCACTCCCCGCTGTTTTCGTCGCCTGGACGACCTCTTTCGTCAGCGCTTCAGCCCGTCGCCAGACCTCCCGGACTGGCACAGCTTGCTTAGTCGGAAGATTCAGATCTTTGATATGGACATGGATGCCATTGTTTCTGCTCTGCATGTGATGTATGCTGATGACTCTAGTATGCTTCCAGCTTATTACTCACTATTACCTAGTGTAGGTGTGCCTAGCGTACCCTCCCCTGCTGCGTCACGCGTAGGATCCTCTGCTTTGTATAGTCTTGGTGCTTCCGCCGTCGTTCCGTCGCCAGACGCCTCTGCTTCGCTTTCCTTCACCTTGGACTCTGGCGCTTCTCGGTGTTTCTTCCGCGACTCCACCACCCTGACGCCGCTTCCTGTCCCTGCTGCCGTTTCTCTTGCTGACCCCTCCGGCGGTCCGGTAGTCGCCCGCAGTTCCACCACCCTTCCCTGTCCGGCGGTTCCTTCGGGCTCTCTTACAGGTCTGCATATCCCCTCGTTCTCCAGGAACCTAGTTGGTGTCGGCTGCCTCCAGGACCTTGGCGTCACCACTACGTTCCCTGGTCACGAGCGGTATGCTGTCTGTACCGAGGCCGCCACCGGTGCCCCCCTGTCCACGTTCCCCCGGGACCCGGTGTCCGGCCTGTTCACTCTGGACACCGTGACCCCCCCGGCTGGAGCGCTCCCCCAGGTTGCTGCTGCCTGCTCCTGTCGGTCCCTCACTCACCCGACCCTCCGTTGGCACCACCGCCTAGGTCACCCTGCGCTCCCGCGTCTGCGTCACATGTCCCAGCACGGTCTTGTCCTTGGTCTCCCAGGTTCTCTCCCCGTGTTTCCCTCCTCCCCAGCCCCGCCTTGCACACCTTGGGTCGAGGGTCGGCTTCGCCGTGCCCCTCACTCCTCCTCGTTTCCCCCTACCGCCGCGCCGCTGCAGACCCGCTAGGGGGCCTGGGAGGGGCGCGACGGGGCCTGGGAGGGGCGCGACAAAGCCCAGGAGGGGCGCTACGAAGCCCAGGGGGGGCGCGACGGGGCCCAAGGAGGAGCGCGACGGGGCCTGGGAGGAGCGCGACGGGGCCCAGTGAGGGGCGCGACGGGGCTAGGGGGGGTCGCGACTGGGCTAGGGGCTAGAGGGGTGAGCGGAAGCGGTAGGTGGGGAGGGATCCTACCTACGCGTGATACCATATCAGAATTGAGAATTGAATGTTAGATAGAAAGAGAGTACACAAGGATATACCTCAGGGTTGTACCCTCTAAGAGACTACCCTATACAGTCTATACAAACATGACAAGTACACATGTTTGACAGTTCGTTGAGCCCTCGGGCGGAGCTGCATGGGGCTGCTGATTGCCGGCAGCTATTTCGGAACGCTGTTGAGTAACTTGCTCGTGTTTGTTTTTTGTTTGTCGTTAGCGGGGTCGTGTGGTGTCGTGCCTGGTGCATCCGACTTCGTAGTGCAAATACTTCGGATTCAGCTTAAGTTGTTTACGCTTGCAGACGCACCAACTCCGCTGGTACAACTCGTTAGTAAGACGCACTTTGTTGAGTGCTGTCGCCCTTTCTTCAGCATTCATGGTGTTAGACAACGACGGATCCACCATTTCGTGAAAAATTTGGGCGGCTTTCGGCACGCTGGCATTGCGAACATAGTCGTGGCTGTAGGTAATTATCGATTAATATTACCAAGATAGCGGATATACAGTAGGCATATGGCGTCAGCCTCCCTAAGTGTCGGTTTTGCAGTGGAACTAGAGCGCGAGGCTGAGGATCGTTAGCTCTGATGGCCAGGTGTAGTGGTGAAGTGCAAAGAGCGTGTGTCGAAGAGTTGAGTAGCAAGGAAACAATACAATGAGGCAACATCAAAACAACAGGGAGTCTGGATATAGCTAGGCCTAGAGCACACAGTCGAGGCTTGGCAGAGCTGAGGCGTGTGGTTTGTAAATTGGCGCAAAGCGGCCAAATCTAGGTATGAAACTGTAAGGCGTGTAAAATGCATGCGGCTCGTCAGGAGTCCACGTTTGGGTGCTGCGATTTGAATTTCGTGGCGGAGCTGCACGGGAACCCCGTTATAACAGTGTTCGCCTTACTAGCTAAAACACTCACAGAAAATACCATTTCCTTACACTCACTCATAACAATTTGGGTGTAGCATTACAAGTTTTGCTATAACTATTTATCCTTAGCTCACAACTAGAGTCAACCACAGCAAGTAACAAGCACGTGCTGCTCACCATCCTTCAGTAACTACTCTCGTGTGTCGTCACCCTGCACCCCTTCCACGTCGCCCGTCCTTAGCGTCTCATGGCGTCCCTCACCTCCCGCCTTCCCCCAACCCCCGCGCCCGCTCTACTGCGCCGTTCCCCGCCGTCGCCCCACTCTGTGGCCCTCCTCTCGCTTCCCCCGTCCGCCACTCACCCCTGTCGGACCTGTTGCCCCACTCCCCGCTCCGCCGCCACCCGCACGCCTCTCGCGCGGCCGGCCGCCCTCCGCCTACCCGCGGGCTTTCGCGGCGGAAAGCCTCTGCCTTGCCGCGCGGCAGACGCGCAGGCGGCGGGGGAAGGCGCGGGAGAGAGGGAGGTGGTGTCGCTGGGGACGGCGGTACTGCCGGGCGACTGCGACCTGGAGAGCCTGGAGGCGATGATGGCGCAGGTGAGACGAGGGTGGCGCAGGTGAGACGAGGGTGGCGCAGGTGAGACGAGGGTGGCGCAGGTGAGACGAGGGTGGCGCAGATGAGTGAGGCGGGTGTGGGGGGCGGGGCGAGGTACAGCAGGGGGATGGGGGCGGGGGCTCGCAGAGGAGGTGCGTTGTGCGCAGCTCATGCGGGCCGGGGGGGGGCGGTGGGGTGCGGGGATTACCAGTGACGTGAAATCGAGGCAGGAGCATGGGAATGTGAGAAAGCACGCTCAAGGGAATGCGCGCAGGTCCCACCTGCTAGCTTACAACGTGTCCCCATGCACCCCCGTCTGCCCTCCTTCGCCCTCGCCTTGCTCTCTGAGCGCGGTCCATTGCTGTAGTACTGAGGTGTGGCCTCGCCTCGGATGCACGGTGGCGTGAGAGGGTCCATGCAAGCATGCTAGTATCCGCGGCCGGCCAGTTCTAAACCAGCTCAAGGGTGCACTGCAGCACAGCACAGAGGGCAGCTCGCCCACGGGGACTGGCTGCACCGATCCATATGCCTGGGAGTTGTATTGCTTAGGGCCCGGTACATAGCGTGTAAATCGATCCTGGCTGGTTCGCTGAAAATACAAAGCCACGGAATCACTTTGGAAGTGGTTTTCCAGCACCGATGCCCACTTCTATCCACCAATCTCCCTTTCGGCGGAAAGAGTCGGGATTTGCGGAACCCCTTCGATCACGCCAGCGAATTTCTTGCGAGGGTAGCACATTGGCGAAATTGGCGAGAGAGGGTTCGGTGCGAGGGCATCGGTCCTATCTCCCGTGCCTGTCACATCTCGTTGTTAGCACAATCACATAGGGTAACCAGCGAGTACGGTTGCGGGCTCGGTGCCGGATCGATTGCAAATGATGCTGCTTCAGGACAAATGTACCGCGCTCTTATAGGGGGGGAGAGAGAGGGAGGAGGGGGGGGGTGACAATGGGGTGGCCGCATGTGAGGTGCATGCGTCGGTCATCCACCCGCTGTGCCCAGGACGCAAGCGACCTCGCCTTGTGGCGCTCCCTGTCGCTTGAGGTGCACGCATCTTCTCAGCTGCGTCCCTTGCAGCCCTCGCCTCTTCCTCTTGACGGCGGGAGAGCGTGGTCGTCTGAATCGGTGCCCCCTTGAGCTGTCTCCCTCCCAGCTGCTTGAAGCGAGCGCGCCCACCTGCAGGGCCCCGCGGTGCTGTGCTGTGCCAGCGTGCAGGGATTGTCGCTCCCGCTGTGCCCATGCACCTGTGGCTGTGGGGAAGTGAGACTCGATGCCATGGAGAGGACGGGGGGCGTGGAGGCCGGGATGTGTGGAGCAGAACCACCTTTCTCTTGAAACCCCCAACCCCGTGTACACCCACCGCCTCAGGCGTGGACGCCAGTGGCCATGGCGCATCACAAGCCTTCAGTGCCAGGCTGGGTCCCAGTCAGTCCCCATCACGGGAGCACTCGGAGAGAGAGCAATGTTGGGTGGGACCGTTGAGTCATTTCCCAGCTGTTCGAAGTGAGCTGCCGGCACCTCCATAGCCAGGGGTGCTGTTGCATGGAGGGGAGGCGTGGAGGCCAGTTGTGCGGTATGGGACATGGCGCTGTGGCGCGTGACAGGGCAGGCCATGTGCACGGGCTGCAGCACCGCCCTCCCGAAGCCCAGCAGAGGTGCCATGGGGAGGAGGTGGGTGCATGCCGCAGAGACCGTGGGGAGAGGGGGGGGGGGGGGGGCGCATCTCCAGTGGAGGCAGGGGCGTGGCTGGTGGGCGTGTCTAGCGCATGCCGCACCACTGCTGGTGGCTACCTGGCCGGCTGGCGGGGAGAGGGCGCAGGAGATGGGGGGCGTAGGGTGGGACGCGGTGCATGTGGGCGAGGAGCAGCAGAGAGCGGCGAGCAGGAGGGCGGTGTGGAGTGGCGCAGCGCCACAGTTGGCAGTGGCAGGGGGCGGGGAGGGCGAGGCTGCCCCTGTGCTGGCATACGGGGCAGGATGCGACTAGCAGCGGGACCAGGGGGTGGCCTTGGCATGCAGAGCCGGTACGGGTGAGCTTTCTTGGGCTCTCGGAGTGGGAGGAACGATCCAGATATGCACATTCAGGTAGGAGGATCTGTACACAGGAGGTACAGGTGTCATTGTAGCACTTGGTCGCCGCTATAAACAAGATTCTGTCTGTTCCTACTGTGTACAGGTCATGTGCCCATTGGGTAGAGACACGTGTCACTGTGGCACACGACTGCTGCTTGGAAGCATACTCTCGGTACTCTGCACAGGGTCGTGCACGGTTGGGTGCGGTGCAGTGTGGTAGCCATTGATCGTTGCTATCCTGTGCAGGCGATTGCACAGTTGCTGGCTTTGGATTACCTGCAAGTAGAGTGCAGAGTGGGAGAGGCAAGTCCAAGGCATGACACACTTTGTCTGCCACAGGACGGGTTTCTCCCCCCATCCTTGACCCCCTGTTGGCTGGAGCTCATCCAGTGCTTTCACCAGATTTCTGAATCTTGCTCTCTGCTTTTGCTGTGAAGCTTGGGCCGCAGCTTTGGACGTTTGAGCGGTAGTCCAGGCGCCATGCACTCTGCCCTGGCCGCCTACTCCTCAGCTGTCGCTGCACATGGGCGCACCCCCGTGTGCTGCTGGCACCGGCGGCTGTCCTGCCGCACATGGGCAGTCCCCACTGTGCGTGTGCTGGCAGGCTGCCAGCTTGAGTGCAACACGCTGCTGCCACGTGCCAGGCGTCTGGGTGGGGTGGGTGGGTTGGGGATGGTGGGTTGGGGATGGTGGGTTGGGGATGGTGGGTTGGGGATGGTGGGTTGCAGATGCTGAGGTGGGGATGGTTGATGATGGTCATTGGCGTCTGGCAGGAGGGCTGACGGGGTGCAAGCAGGGAGGAAGGGAGCGGAATAAGGGGCAAACGGGGAGTGCGGGGAGGGGAGGGAGGGAGTGAAGGAGGATAGTGGGGCACGGAAAATGGAGCGGGAGAGGTGGTGGAGGGAATTAGAGGAAGGGTGATAACGAGCATGGAAGGATGAACGCGTGTTGGTTGGTTCGCATGCGATGTGTGCTACAGTTGTGGAGTGTGGATGTGCTACAGCCGAGGAGTGTGGATGTGTGCTACAGTCGAGGAGTGTGGATGTGTGCTAAAGTCGTGGAGTGTGGATGTGTGCTGCATCTGTGTGTTCAGAGCTTGCAGTAGTGGACGCTGGTAGCTAGGATAACCCCCCATTCCATCCCTCCCACTCCAAATGTTCTCCGCTCCTCCTATCTTCCTCGCCTGCTCCTGCTCATTTTTCCTTGATCTCTTCCCTCTGCTCTGCTGTACCCTCTTAACAATGCCAGTCCCTAACCTCGCATTCCCCGCTCATCCCTTGGTCACGTGCACATTTAGATCTGCTCCTGCTTCTCTCCTCTCTCTCTCCCTTTCACACCCACCTCTCCTCCCCTCAGCCCATTCCTTCTCCCTCACGCTCACCTCTTCTTCTCACCCCCCTCCCTATGCCGTGCTCTCTGTCCGTGCCATCGTGCCTGCAGTGGGCCACGTCCCTCACCCAGAACGCCAACCTGCCTCTGCAGTCCCCCCTCAAGGTATGCCTCCTCCACCCTCCCAACTCTCCCAGCCTTGCCTCCCGGCAGTGAGCATCCCATGTTCATTCATCTGCTATCTTCTCGCCTCCTCCCTCCTGCAATCCTGCATGAGTTTCAACCTCTTTGTATGCGTGTGTTTGCCTGCGTGCCCGCGCGTCTGTGTGTGTGCGTGTGTGCGTGTGCGTGTGTGTGTATGCACGCGTGTGCCAGGTGGACAGGGTGCCGGGCGGCGTGCGGCTGGGCGTGGAGGTGAGTGAGGACGACACCACGAGGCCTGTCGACATCATAGTCACAGTGGAGCCGGCCTCTGCCGAATCCCCTGCCATGTTCCGAGCCGTGCGCGCCGGCCCTCACTGCCAGCTCACACCGCCCGGCGAGCCCGCTCTCATGGCCTCCATGCTCTCCGCCCTGCGCAAGTCCGTTGCGCTCTCCCGACCACCGCCGCCACCACAGTAGGCAGTGATTTTCACCATGAAGGGTTTTTTTTATCAAAGTTAACGAATGACTAGAAAGGTGGGATACAAGGGAATATAACCTAGAGGGTTGTACTCTCTAAGGCACAACCCTATATAGTCTATAAAAACATACCGTAATCCCTCGTATATAAGACCCGCCGAAATAGTCAGACCACGGGTGGCTTATGCGGGGGATAACTTATGATATCACGCATTTTTTAGAGTACCCGCTGTTGAAAGTACCTCAAAAGACTTAAGCGTTTCTGAAGTGTAACACTACACTCGAAGAAGACTACAAGAGGTACGCGAGTCAACGGAGGTTACACGAGGGGGCGGACAAAGAACACGAAGGGTCTGGGACTCAAAGGGTCGCAACTGGAGGTTGCGACTGACCGTTACAACAGCGCGGATGGTAACCGAAGCGACAATCGAGTCGCTGTGCGACTCGATAAAACCGCTACTGCAACTGTACTCTACAACTGTTTTCTTATCTTCTATATATTGCTGTATGCTTGTCTCTTTAATCAATCACTTGTTCTCACATACTAGTACAAGGGTTCAACTGCCTCAACTTCCGCTGCACTACTCCAAGTCTCAAGTCTCTACAAGCTGGGACTTAGTCTCTGCAAAAGATCCTAAGGCCTTTTTTTCAGCCCAACATGGTATGAGAGCTGGTCAGAGACCAAACTCCCAGCAACTACGCTCCATCAACGACCTGCAACTCAACTCAATTCAATGACTTCATTGATTACAAGACATGGACAGCAAGGGCAAGAAAGTCTCTACGGGCTCACCCAGCGCCCAAGAAACTCAACACGGCAACTCTGGTCTGCACACCTCAGGACTGCAGACAGAGACCGGGACTGCTCAAGAAACAACGGGAAGAGCACCGGAGATGGTGACTCCGTCTCCCTCTTCAAGTGTGGACCCGAATCTCATGGAGAGATTCTTCAGCTTCATGTCACACTTCGACCAGCAGCAGCAGACAAGGACACCTGCGCACTCAACACAGAGCAATGGAGGGAATATGGGATTAGCGCCGATGAGCCTCGACAACTCATCCTTCGGGCGACACAATCAAGCACCTACTTTTGCGCCTTATCACTCTTCACCGGGGACGTTCGAGTTCATGCCGCCCCGTGCCCAGCCAACAGCAGCTGCATCACAACAAACACCGAACGAAATCTTAAGTCTTCAGGCACAGTTCTCACACGTAATTAAACTTCAGACATCCTCACCGTTCAACGGACACGACTTCTTTACCTGGAGCTTCGAGTTCGAGCTGCTGATGGAGGCCGCACATCTTCTGGGATACTTCAACGGGTCCCTGCCATTCCCAAGCAACGGCACTGGGAAGGAACAAGAAATCTTCACGTATCAGTCGCTGCTGGCGTATACGGTACTCCTGAGAAACCTGTCACCACAAGAGCAGCAGAGCATCAGAACGTATCGAAGTTATGGAAACTCCGCGGAACTCGCATGGCATCATCTCAAGTGCCTCTATCAAGCAAACGACAGCGTGACACAAAGCAGACTCATGCAACAACTGACAACAATACAGATGAAGACCGGGGAAAAGGCGATGCAGTATATGAGTCGCTGCCAGACCCTCCGCGACCGCCTGCTTCGGTGCGGAGGAACGATCACTGAAGAAAGCTTCGTGACACTTGTCCTCGCCGGGCTCGGGCCAGAATGGAGAACCACACGATCACTTCTTCGAGCCCACGGAAGAATTTCGGAGATGCACCTCTGCGCCGAGCTTCACGCTGAACAACAGGAGATGGATCTGTTCGAGGAAAGACAACCAAGAAAGCAACAGCAGTTAGTCTTCTACACTCAACGAAGAAACGACAACACCTACAATCGACGCGGCAAGCAAGAACGCGACAACAGGGGACTTACCTTCGTGCCGCCGTTCTGCCACAACTGCCAGACTTCCGGGCACTCCAAAGTCAACTGCAACCGCCCTCGCGTTTACCGTGCAGCAGACCCACAAGTCGCTTCCACTCAAGCAAGTCCTCCAAGGCGCCCTTCAACATCTGCACAACAAACACCCGACATCATCAACTGCATGGTACACATCGACAACTGCGCACCCGGATCACCACCCACTTACGCACCAGACGAAGAGGAATTCCCGCCGCCGCGCTCGCAAGGACTTCAGGTCAACCCGACATACGCTGCGGTCGCCAACGCCGAACCCACCGGGCGAAACACCTGGTTCTTGGACAGCTGCTGCGGTCAACACATGTGCTCCTCGGGACGCTTCGTGCAACAGGAGAAACGCCTCAACCGCGACGTCGTCATCACCGTCGCCAACAACGAAAACCTGAAGACAAACAGACAAGGCGTGGTTCAGTTACAATCCATGGAAACAAACGTAATACTGCAGCTCAACAAAGTGCTCATTGTCGACAACCTGGGATACAATCTCCTAAGCGTAAGCCAACTAATGGCCAAAGGGATTCACCTGGAGTGCGACTCTTACTCCAACGAATTCCGGCTTTACCACGGGAAGGACGGCCTCTTCATCGGTCGTGCCCTCCTGAAGTCCGGCGTCTTCGTGTTGGACTTCGTCCCCGACCGCGGAACTGCCGACAGCGATGGCATCGTATCGTTCGCCGCCTGGACTCACCCGCCGGATCTTGATCCCGACTTCGACAGTGACGGCTTCTGGCACTCCAACACCATACCTGCAGCAGAGAGAACACGAGCATTAGCAGTTATCAGACAAGAAAGACAAGTACCCGCAAGTGTCCCAACAAAACCATCACCTGCAGTATCGGCAGCAGGACCCAGCCGAGCACCACCACCATCAACACGAGGACCGCCAACGGAAGTAGACCAACTTATGCCCGCCACACGAGAAGCTTGTCGAAGTCCCGCCTCGGTCGTCGCGTTCTTCTCCAACGCCGACATCTACCACCGCTCGCCCGGCCACCGCGCTCCCGACGACATCTGGCACCAACGTCTCGGACATCCTGCAAACAGCACGATACTTCAAACAATCCAAGCAGAGGTGTTAGAACGCAACGCCCTTCTGACGACGAGCGGCCAGGAACTCCGACGACCACGCGCACGGTGCTTCACATGCCCCAAAGCAGATCTTCCTCATCAACCTTTCCCATCCCATCACAATCCAAGCGCACCCACTTAAGCTCCGATGGAAAAGGTCTACAGCGATATCTTAAACATGCCTCGAGACAATACCGAAGCCGACTTCAACTACGTCATCACGTTCATCGACGCCGCAACCAGATATGTCTGGCACTTCAATCTCAAGACACGCGATCAAGCCTTCGAAGCCTTCACAACATGGCTTCCCATCGCCGAACGAGAATCAGGACTCAAACTCAAGAGCTTCCAGTCAGACGGTGCACTGGAATACCAGTCACAACGCTTCAGGACCTATCTGGCGGAAAGAGGAATCAGACGCCTGGTGTCCCTGCCCTATGCTCACCAACAGCAGGGGGTAGCAGAACGCATGAATCGGACCTTGCAGACGACGATGCGAAAACTGCTTCAGGGGATGCGACTGCCAACCACACTGTGGCCAGACGCGATGACACATGCAGTTCACCTGCACAACCTGCTGTCCTCGTCATCACTTCCCAACAACGCATCACCGCACCTGTTGTGGACAAGAAAAAGGGGCAGCACAAAATTACTCCGAGTTTTCGGCTGCATGGTACAGTACAGACCCCACACAGCCCGAGCAGGACGCTTCTCACAAAGAGCTCGATGGGGACTACACCTCGGCATCGCCAAACATTTTCACGCGTGGAAAATTCTCGACATACAAGACAAAAACACGGTGGCATCAAGAGATGTTATCTTCTACGAACGACTGACGCTGCAGCATTACCTGGACAACCTTGCCAACACACAAGACCCCACCGACGGCTTCGCGGGCCTTCGCTCCTTCGCTGACCATACTGCCGAGGCTGACGCAGCAGAAGAAGACGTACCTGGAGCCTCGGAAGCTGCCGGACCACTCCCATTCTCTTCCGTACCTGTTCCACTCGATGAAGATAATCCCCTCGATAGCAACAACCTCGACACCTTTTACCACTTCGCCGACCAAGGTTACGCTACACCTCACCCCGTCGACACAAATATTTCGGAACGCATCGGCCCCAATTTCTTACCTGACCCCGAAGACGGTGACGAAGCAGCTTATTCCGGGAATGAAAATTCCCCTCGACACACGCCCACGAGACTCCAGATTCTAGGCCTCTGGGTCTCCGTCCAGAATCCGCCGCCGCCTTCTCCGCGAGAGCCTTCAACGTTGTCGCAGGCTCTGGGGGGGGAACATAAGGCAAGATGGAAGGAAGCAATGGAAAAGGAGTTAAAAGCTCTGCAAGACCGAGAAACATGGAAACTGGTACCTGCAACGAGCATCAACGGAAAAAACGTTCTCTCGGGGAAATGGGTGTACCGCATCAAGACCAACTCAGACGGTTCCATCGAACGATTCAAAGCTCGATGGGTCGTACGAGGCTTCGATCAACGATACGGAGCCGACTACACAGAAACCTTCGCTCCAGTCTCCCGTCACACCTCATTACGCATCCTACTCGCCGTCGCGGCCACGAAAAAACTGCCACTACGCCAAATCGATGTCGCGAATGCATTCCTATACGCACCTGTGGACGCTGAGATCTTCGTCGAACAACCCCACGGATTCATCAACGACCCCACGAAAATATGCCGACTGACAAAATCCCTATACGGGATCAAGCAAGCCCCGCGGCTCTGGCAGCAGCATCTCCACGGCCGTCTCGCAAAGATCGGCTTCCTACAATTACCGCATGACCAAGGGATGTACCGACTGCAGAAGGGAAGAGATTATGTTCTGCTCATCGTCTACGTCAACGACCTGCTCTACATCGGCTCCACTATCGACATCGCCACCTGGTTCGAAGGGGAGCTGAAAGAAGATTTAACTCTCACGGTGTCCGACGAAGTTACCCAGTACCTAGGACTGAACATCGTCGAAGACGACACGGCGTTCTACCTACACGCTGGAAAGTACTCAAGCACCGTCGCGAAGAAATTCGGTCTAGCACCGACTGCGGTCCCAACTCCCTACCGCTACGGGAACAACAGCAGCGCCTCTACAAAACTCCCCGTGAAACAAATCCAGGAGTATCAACAGAAGCTCGGCTGCCTACTATTCGCAGCAGTAACCTGCCGACCCGACCTATCCTATAGTGCGAGTCAGTTGGCGACACATCTGAAGCAGCCGCAACAGGAAGATCTCGAAGAACTCAATCGAGCGCTACTCTACTTCGTCTCCACGCCGACGATCGGGCTCACCTACAGCAAGGCAACAACACCGTCCGTACGACTACTCGGATACGTCGACGCCGACCACGCGGGAGACAGCGAAAATCGACGGTCTAGGACGGGCTACATCTACCGACTAGAACCTATCGGAACTATCTCCTGGCAGTCGAGCAAACAGGAGTTAATCGCACTATCCTCGGCCGAGGCAGAATATGTCGCCCTTTGTACTGCAACCAAGGAAGGACTCTACCTGCGGGAGTTACTCGAGGAAGCGAAGATCGCGACCCTACCCGCCTTCTCACTCCTCTGCGACAACCAATCTGCGATCAAAATCGCGAACAAGGACGGCTTCGCCAACCGAACCAAGCACATCGCCCTACGGTACTTCTTCGTCAAGGATGAAATCGCGAAGGGGAGACTTCAACTCAGTTACTGCCCGACGACAGAAATGGCCGCAGACTATTTGACGAAGAAATTGGCGAAGACAAAATTCGACCACTGCATGCTGTTGACCGGGCAGACAAACGTCACCGGATCTGAACAAGTCAGCACTCCAGAAACGAAGGGGAGTGTTGAAAGTACCTCAAAAGACTTAAGCGTTTCTGAAGTGTAACACTACACTCGAAGAAGACTACAAGAGGTACGCGAGTCAACGGAGGTTACACGAGGGGGCGGACAAAGAACACGAAGGGTCTGGGACTCAAAGGGTCGCAACTGGAGGTTGCGACTGACCGTTACAACAGCGCGGATGGTAACCGAAGCGACAATCGAGTCGCTGTGCGACTCGATAAAACCGCTACTGCAACTGTACTCTACAACTGTTTTCTTATCTTCTATATATTGCTGTATGCTTGTCTCTTTAATCAATCACTTGTTCTCACATACTAGTACAAGGGTTCAACTGCCTCAACTTCCGCTGCACTACTCCAAGTCTCAAGTCTCTACAAGCTGGGACTTAGTCTCTGCAAAAGATCCTAAGGCCTTTTTTTCAGCCCAACACCCGCTTTTTTGGGTTTGCACGTTTTTCTTCCCTTTAAATAGTATTCTGTCCTTCATTACCAAGGTTCGCTCAGCGGCAAAAATACGAACACGATTAAAATCGCGTCAGCTGCCATTCGCAGCGCAAAGACGGGCAGAAGAATCAATACAAGTGGCAACATGAAATCGAAAGACAAAAAGTGTCGAGAGGATATCGACCGTCCATCTTGCTGTTGAACCATTTCGATCGCGTCAGCAATGGTCGTGACTCTATTCACAGCACTCTTACGAGATTGGTCAATGACACATGTATCAAACATGTGTATTTGTCATGTTTGTATAGACTGTATAGGGTAGCCTCTTAGAGGGTACAACACTTAGGTATATCTGTGTGTACCCTCTCTCTAACGAACATTCACTTCTTCATTTCTGATATGGTATCACGCGTAGGTAGGATCCCCCCCCCCCACCTACCGCTTCCGCTCGCCCCCTAGCTCGGCCCCGTCGTGCCCCTAGCCCCGTCGCGACCCCCCACTAGCCCCGTAGCGCCCCTTCTGGGCCCCGTCGCACCCCTCCTGGGCTTCGTCGCGCCCCTTCCACGGCCCCGTAGCGCCCCTCCTGGGCCCCGTCGCGCCCCTCCTGGGCCCCGTTGCGCCCCTGCTGGGCCCCGTAGCGCCCCTCCTGGGCCCCGTCGCGCCCTCCCTGGGCCCCGTAGTGCCCCTCCTGGGCCTCGTAACGCCCCTCCTGGGCCCCGTAACGCCCCTCCTGGGCCCCGTAGCGCCCCTCCTGGGCCCCGTCACGCCTTCAGGCCCTGTCGCGCCATGCCCGGCCCCGTTGCCCCCTGCCCGGCCCCGTCGCCCCTGCCTGGCCACTTCGCACCCGCCCGGCTCCGCCGCACCAGCCCGGCCCCGTCGTGCTCGCCCGGCCCTGTCGCGCCCGCCCGGCCCCGTCGCACCCGCCCGGCCCAGTCGCACCCGCAAGGCCCTGTCGCACCTGCCCGGCCCCGCCGCACCAGCCCGGCCCCGTCGCGCCCGCCCAGCCTCGTCGCCCTCGCTCGGCCCCGTCGCACCGGCCCGGCCCCGTCGCGCCCGCCCGGCCCCCGTCGCGCCCGCCCGGCCCCGTCGCACCCGCCCGGCCCCGTTGCCCCGGCCCGGCCCCTGCGCTCGTCCCCGCCTCGGCCCCTTCCCCCCCTCACTGGTACGGTTCCCCCCCCCCCCGCCCCCCACACCACACTGTACTGCCCTGCACCGCACTGCACTGCACTGCACCGCACTGCACCGCACTGGACTGCACTGCATTGCACTCCACCTTGCTGCACTGCCTCGCACCGCACTGCACTGCTACTGATGGCGGCGGAGCTTCGCTTCGATGCTGAAGGCCAGCCTCTGGAGTTCGAGGCGTGGCTGGCCGACCTCCGCCGCCAACTCACTGACCAGCGGCAGGATGGTGGACCGCATTCCGCACACCTTGACGGTACGCTCCCCTGCCCAGACCCCCCTGCTATTCTGCCCGCTGACTCCACACCCACTGAGCGCGAGTCCACTGCTGCCACTGCCCATGCGCGCTCTGTCTGGCTTTCTCGCAATGCTGTCGCTCAGCTTGCCATTAGCAACGCCCTTCCCCCGTCCAAGCGCCCTCTCTTTAGGTCCCTCACTACTGCTCAGGAGCCACTGGGTCCCAGGAGGGAAGGTGCCAGTAAAGCCCGGAGGGCGACGTAGGTAGACCTGCTCGTGTAGGCTGCCCTGAAGGAAGGCCGTGGAGAAGTCGAGGGAGTGAAGCTCGTAGTCACGCTGAGCAGCTAGGTGTAACAGAACCCGAAGAGTAGTCATCTTCGGGGTCGGAGCGAAGGTCTGGAAGAAGTCCACCCCCTCGCGCTGACTGAAGCCTCTAGCCACATAGCGCGCCTTGAACACATGCGGCTCTCCAGGAGGGCGCTTCACCTTGAAGAGCCAGCGAATGAGGGAAAAAACCGTCCGGATGTTTGGCAATAAGTTGGGTTTTTAGGCTTTGAGACTACTGTATGGTAAACCTGCAAGATGCACGGTGGTACATGTTGGGAGAGGCACAAAGTGGATGCGTTCACTGCACTAAGAACTAGAATAGTACATTGGATCTAACTCATACTCCAAAAGATATACAACGAGTACATCCGGACAGTTTTTTCCCAGGACAAAGAGCAAACTTCCGAACAACGTTTCTAGTACCTAGTCCACCTACTCTTGGCGTTGATCACCATCCACACCCTCCTAGGCATGTTATCTATGTGGTTAGTGCAGACCTTTGCATGAAGCTTCTTGCACTCTTCCTTGACCCACCATTTTGCATAAGGGGGTGAGCACAAGGAAAATTGCGAAGTATTTGAGCGTATGCATAAGTATTGTGCACGAATTCAGATTGAATGTAATCTCTGAGACTAGCCAAGCCGAGGGGTGTCCAAAGATGCCATTACTTGAATGGTCCCGGCTTATCATGAGTTGTTTTCGTCGAATCAGAGTAGGGTGAAATCACGAATAGAGTGGCAAAATCTAGCATACCCGCCACGAAACTTAGGGTAACAGAGCACGGTCGATTGAGCATCCTTTCATTGTTAGAATCATGTTAAAATCCGCGAGTCTAGTGACAGTGCATCAGTTGAAGAAGTCTCGACTGTTTGGGAAGAATATCAGGGTTGAGGTCTGGTGAGGAAGAGGGGCACTCCAGAGCTACATATCCATGCTCTCCGAGCCATTCCAAGCCTAGGCAGGGAAAATGACATGGAATGCCTTGGAGAGCATAAGTATGTTGCGCTGGAGTGACCCTTTTTCTCACCAGACCTCAATCCAGATATTCTTCCCAAACAGTCGAGGTTTCTTCGACTGCTGCCCCGTCACTAGACCCGCGGATTTTAACATGGTTCACACAGTGAAAGGATGTTCAGTCGACCGTGCTCTGTTACCCTAAGATTCGTGGCGGGAATGCTAGATTTTGCCACTCTATTCGTGATTTTACCCTAGAACGATACAACGAAGACGACCCATGATAAGCCGGGACCATTTAACTAATGGCATCTTTGGCCACCCCTCGGCTTGGCTAGTCTCTGAGATAACATTCATTCAGAATTTGTGTACAATACTTATGCATACGCTCAAATACTTTGCAATTTTCCTTGTGCTCACCCCCTTATGCAAAATGGTGGGTCCAGGAAGAGTGCGAGAAGCTTCATGCAAAGGTCTGCACTAACCCCATAGATAACATGCCTAGGAGGGTGCGGATGGTGATCAACGCCAAGAGTAGGTGGACTAGGTACTAGAAACGTTGTTCGGAAGTTTGCTCTTTGTCCTGGGAAAAAACTGTCCGGATGTACTCGTTGTATATCTTTTGGAATATGAGTTGGATCCAATGTACTATTCTAGTTCTTAGTGCTGTGAACGCATCCACTTTGTGCCTCTCCCAACGCGTACCACCATGCATCTTGCAAATTTACCATACAATAGTCTTAAAGCCTAAAAACCCAACTTCGTGCCAAACATCCGGACGGTTTTTTCCCTCATTCGCTGGCTCTTCAAGGTGAAGCGCCCTCCTGGAGAGCCGCATGTGTTCAAGGCGCGCTATGTGGCTAGAGGCTTCAGTCAGCGCGAGGGGGTGGACTTCTTCCAGACCTTCGCTCCGACCCCGAAGATGACTACTCTTCGGGTTCTGTTACACCTAGCTGCTCAGCGTGACTACGAGCTTCACTCCCTCGACTTCTCCACGGCCTTCCTTCAGGGCAGCCTACACGAGCAGGTCTACCTACGTCGCCCTCCGGGCTTTACTGGCACCTTCCCTCCTGGGACCCAGTGGCTCATGCGGCGCCCCGTCTACGGCCTGCGCCAGGCTCCCCGTGAGTGGCACGACACTCTCCGTGCTATGCTTGCTGACCTGCAGTTCTTTCCGTCTTCCGCAGACCCTTCACTCTTCGTTCGTGCTGGCCAGACTCCGTTCTACATCCTTGTTTACGTCGACGACCTGGTCTTTGCCACAGCAGACAGGGATGCACTGGCCTCCGTGAAGGCAGAGCTGCTGAAGAGACACACCTGCACTGACCTTGGAGAACTGCGCCGTTACCTTGGCTTGCAGATCTCCAGGGACAGAGCTGCGCGCACCATCACCCTGACTCAGTCACACTTGGTGCGCCAGGTCCTTCAGAGGTTCAGCCTTCAGTTCTCTTCTGCACAGCCCACCCCTCTGATTGTAGACCACAGGCTCTCCGCTCCAGTGTCTGAGGAGTTGGTAGAGCCTAGCGGCCCCTACGCAGAGCTGGTGGGTTGCCTCATGTACCTGATGACTTGCACTCGCCCAGATCTCGCATACCCTCTCAGCATCCTGGCTCGTTTTGTGGCCACAGGCAGACACCGACCGCAGCACTGGTCTGCCGCTAAGAGGGTTATGCGTTATCTTGCTAGTACATCAGGCATGGGGTTAGTGCTAGGAGGACGCAGGCCAGTGGTCCTTACTGGACACACAGACGCTTCGTGGGCAGACGACGCCGAGACACTCAGGTCTACCCAGGGCTACTGCTTCAGCCTTGGCTCAGGTGCCGTCTCGTGGAGAGCTACCCGCTCCTCGTCTGTGGCGCAGTCCAGCTGTGAGGCTGAGATCTACGCTGGTGCCATGGCGGCACAGGAGCTCCGCTGGCTGACCTTCTTGCTCAGTGACTTAGGTGAGTGGCCTAGCTCTGCCCCGGTCCTGTTCGCTGACAACAGGGCCATGATCCTCCTGTGTCAGGAGCCTCGACTCGAGGGCAGGGCGAAGCACATTCAGCTGCGGTACTTCCTCCCGCGTGAGCTACAGCAGCGACGTCAGGCTCGCGTAGTACACTTGGCCTTTGGTGCCAACACGGCTGATATCTTTACGAAGGCGCTTGCGCCTAAAGATCATCAGCGGC